CACGTGCAGCAATTACCACAACGGCCATCACTTTACAACAGCTCCACAGTATTGCCTTCAGATGATACGCGAATCCCCAGGTACCGCTAGTCATTGTACTAGTATGCTGGCAACGTAAAGGGTGTTTGTGCTATTTTAGCAATATTCCAGTTTCAACATGGAGCGGAACACCAAGGTTTGTATCGATTCGGGGAATCGAGCCTCTGCATTTGGTGTTCCCAGCGATCGCTATAACCACTAAGCTACGCCACTCCCGTATGGAGGACGTCAGCGTATTGGACGTTCACATCCGATGTCTGGAGTGTGTCCGTTCCTCCTTGTCGCCGGTCCCCGATCACCTGGAAGACATTCATCATCATCATCATCATCATCATCATCATCATCATCATCATCATCATATTATGATTAAAGGAAACTCATTAAAATCAAACCTTCATATTTCCTACCACTTTCCTAAACTTAGTCTTTTAAAATATGTCGGGCGGTGGGCTAGCCTAGTGGTTAAAGCGTTCGTTCGTCACGCCGAAGACCCGGGTTCGATTCCCCACATGGGTACAATGTGTGAAGCCAATTTCTGGTGTCCCCCGCCGTGATATTACTGGAATATTGCTAAAAGCGGCGTAAAACTAAACTCACTCACTCACTCTTTTAAAATATGTTATTGTGATAGAGGCAAGCAACTACATTAAAGTGAAATGGAGCATCAGTGTTAAAGGAGACTCCTGAACCTATAGTAAATCTGGACATGCTTGATTTAGTGCTATACATGTACCTTAATAGTTACTCGGTAATGCATCAAATATATGGATCACTTTCCACAAAGCGATCTTAACGGATGATCGCAGGCCCACATATATGGGCTTACTCACAACAATAATATATATAACATTACAACCCGCCCACTTACATGTATTATAAATCACAAGCAAGTTAGGGGCATACACAATGGTTGTGACTCAACAACAGTAAATCCATTTATGTTCATCCTGTTCAGCCGTCCACGGAAAAGCTGATTGCATTGGGTCGCATTAGCTCGGGTAGTTTTGACAAACACCCCCACCACCAACCATTAGAAGAAAAAGTAAAGAAAATAAAGAGAGAGCCAAACATTATTCAAAATATAATATTTTTGTTTATCTCAGAAAGCCTAGACATGGCTACAAAATGGTAAAGAGTTTAATGTGAAGTGAATTTTTAACCTGTTCCCTTCCAGACCGAAGACAAATTTTCAGAACAAAGTTGATGGTGACAAGAAAGATACGAGTGTTACATTAGCGACACGACATGGTTTAGAGTCAGCAATGGCAGGTATGGAATTTACCAGCTCGTTGTGTACCATATCCTTCTCTTGCATGTCAAAATTATTTACTGACGACTGATGGCATACTGTACTGTACACATTCCCTACACACGTACAAATAGACAGGGCTGGAAGAGTAGTGACACTCACCTTTGCCTGCGATTCACAGTTTCTCCGAATACGTCATCACCACAGCAATCCACACGCTTCTTGGTCCCAGTAATCAATACCAGACAGGTTGCTCGAGTGACCACGGTCAGTGCTTGTTATTGTTATACGCTGTGAGAATCACAACCCCCTGTGTAGGCTAAACGTCGTGGTATTGTTACTTTCAATGACATACCACAGTGTTCTCCGGCGGTTCATGGGATATGCCAAGCAGTGGTGTCCGACACGCCCCATTTCTCTAGAAAACTTCCGACTGAACTATTCTACCCCGAACCACGTCAATATAATATTGATTGTGCTCAATAAAACATGCCCTTATCTGTGTAGGGTTTACACTGGATTATCTCCCTTCGCTGACACATTTTCACCTTTTACAAATCAATAGTGCTGAATATTATGTCAGAGTTTCATTGGGGTAAGAAACATGAATAGATATAGCTGATATGTTGTTATTTTATACTGAGGTGTTGAATAAGGGTTGTCGCGTTGATTGTTTGTGTGTATGTTGCAACCAATTTCTGAATTAGGTATATTTGTAAAATAATGTGTTATGTTAAGCGAAATAGAGTAAACAGTCAACGGGAAGCATATTGAAGGGCTCTACATCATTGTTAATGCAACGACAACTGTTAACGTAAAGCACAGTAATGAAGTAAACAGACCGCCGTGTATATGTTCATGACGTCACAATGATGATGACACCATAGCGTATCATAGTGAGTGAGTGAGTTTGGTTTTACGCCGCACTCAGCAATCTTCCAGCTATATATGGCGGTGGTCTGTAAATAATCGAGTCTGGACCAGATAATCCAGTGATCAACAGCATGAGCATCAATCTACGCAATTGGGAACGATGACATGTGGCAACCAAGCCAGCGAACCTGACCACCCGATCCCATTAGTCGCCTCTTACGACAAGCATGGGTTACTGAAGATTCATTCTAACCCCGACCTTCACCTTATGTTGACTTTGTCAGCTTCAGGTCTAGTTTTTCAATAAAAAGATATAATGCTCTACAGCTGAATTATAAGTGATAGAGTGAGTGAGTTAGGTGTTATGCCGCTTTTAGCAATATTCCAGCAATATCACGGCGAGGGACACCAGAGATAGGCTTCACACACTGTACCCATTATGAGGAATCGAACACGAGTTTTTGGCGTGACGACCGAACACTTTAACCACTGGGCCACCCCACACGTTATACTGATTTTATAAAATCAGTATATCGGAAATCGGAAATCACTAGTTCCGTGCGACACTAGTACCACGCACGCAGTCATGCAATATTCCCTACAGCACATGACGACAAAAACGTAACTCGATAATTCGGAAAACCATTTTTACAATGGTAGTATCGATCGAAAGATCGGTTACAGTACTAGAGCGTCAGTCACGTTTGTTTATTTATCTGCTTCCAAGGCAACAGCGTCTATGGCCACGATCTGATCAGTCTTTGACGCATAGAAGGCCACTATGACAGACCGAACCCAGTTGAGGCAGGTTTTAGAGCATGTGAGCGTACTGTAGTGATTAGCAACGCAGCTTGAGACACTATTTCGCTTATGTCACGGTGTGACAGCTTGAACCCAAGAACTGCAAAGACCGGTATCAATCAGTTTTGATACTAACGGGGCACACGGGTTTGGTGCTTGCAAGCCAAGAGTCTTGAAAAAAAAGAAAAGAAAATTCTTGGACTTGAAACACTTTCATCGTATATACAAACAAATAAAAGTTATGGATCATATTTAGGGATGTATATACATTGTAATGAAGACTGAACACACCAATACGAGTGAGTGAGTGAGTGAGTTTGGTTTTACGCCGCTTTTAGCAATATTCCAGCAATAACGGCGGGGGACACCAGAAATGGCCTTCACATTGTACCCATACGGGGAACACACCAATACGAATATCACCCACAATATACGGGATCTCTAACTTTTTTTTGTTTCTCTTTCATGTTTTTATTCCCAGAATTATGTGATCTGTAACTTGTTTTATTCAGTGTATGAATATATGTAAACAAGTGATTTTCTAAACTGCTAATGAAGCCTTATAGCCTTACAGGTGGGGCATCCTCCAGGGCAAGGAACCAGACGTCACTAATGTCTTCAACAGGAACCAGGGGGAAGGGCCATGGCGTCTGGACTGTCCTTGCATGCACACTTGTCAAACCAACTTTCTGCACCTTCTTCCAAACTGTTTGTGTACAGTGAAACATGCAGCCCTTCATTTGTGTGTCTGGAAAGATGGTAATGAACGCATCTATCCAGTGGATAGAAGTTGCTCTCCTTGTCTTGATACTAAATCTGCTACCCCTAAATATCAAATACTGACCTTCTCTACCATTTGGAATGAAATGAAGCTTGCCATGGTGAATGAATGCACTAGACCACAGTGCAACGTTATACACATGTGTTCAGTTAACATAGTTCACTTAGAGTAAAATTAAAATTAATGTCTATCGGTGTCATGGTGAACTGCACATGGCTAATTAGGTGAGCTAATCCCCCAGCTTGCCGGACCATATCTCACAGGGATGAACAGTATTTGCACAATCAAGCAAGCATAACTGTTTATCCCCCTAAGCGAGAACGAGAAGACCCTTCTGAGACCAGAGACCATATAATAGATGGTCTCTGCTGAGACAGGTATTGGGGCAGATATCTAAAATGTAATCCTTGCGTTATGTGAATGTTTTTAATTTTAAACACGCGATAACGTTACAAAGAAACATGGTCAGGGCGAAACTGGGATTGGAACCCGCTATCACGTGGTTCGGGCACATTTAAAGGGACGCAGCTCAACAGAGCGAACTTCGGCGCCTAAACTACTGCACTCCGTTTACAGGGGCACTAAGCTGGTTTCCGGCTCCCTTTGCGCGCGAAAACTTGCTTATATTGCGATATGCGAGACGGGGCCCAGTTTAACAGTGGCACATGCACTCATAAAGGCCCTACATGAGCTCTGTTCATCCTTGTGGTAGCGAATCAAAAAATTACCCAAATCCCCTACTCTTCCAAGTAAGATGTTCGGATGGGGGTGATCCCAGCCTGCTCTATCGGTGTTGAGGACCTACTGCGCAACAATCGAGTGAATAATGCATAACGCCGCTGTGTGCAAAATTAAAGTTATCGCACCGTGACTTGCGACATCGAGCATGATAACACACAATCCAACGACGTTACTACAGGAGGAATATCGAACAATCTATTAAAGGAAACACACTGTGGTATTGCAAACATAATGGTATACAATGCTGAATCTTGCAATATGCCGTCGACTCCATCAGGGATAATTAATTACGTCTTCTATTCTCCCTGATCAGAGTCTGTTTGCAAAGCAATTCACAATTTCGTGACGATTCACTTGTGTAAAACCCCAAAACCATTCTAAGACAAACGGGCCCAGGGACCCTGTTGTCGATCGGAGCTGTGATATTGTTTATTCTTTCAGAAATGGTTTAGGTCATGCTTGGGAATGAAACGAGTCATTCACCAAGTCTAGCTCCTTGACGCAAGGGGAATCCCCAGCCTCGATTTCGCCACACCAACTGGTGGAGTACGAAGTACAACACCTGCACTGTTTTGTGGAACAAATTTCTTGACACATCTAACGTGCAATAAGAAACACAACTGACAGTTAAATGTAACAGCTGCGCCAATTTTGCCCCCATGGAATGGAATGGTAAGATTAAAATCCAGAATAGAATCATATTGTTGTTATTTTCAAGGTGTCCTCAGCTGGTCGAGCAGAGTGCAGCGATCGGAATACCTGTTGACCCTCTCACACCTGTGAAGGACCATGTGTTGAATGTCAGATGGACTCTTAATAATTATTGAGGAACACATTTCTTTTTCAATCAATATTTCACTATTAATATTAAGCATTGTGAATAATTAAGAACAGTGTATAACTGAATATGTTCAACAATGATAATTTTTCTCACATGTGATTTTTTCTTGTTTGTCCACAGGCCAATAATTTTCTTTATACAAACAAAAACAAAATTTAGGTCTATTTACGTGTGTATATGCTTGCAGTATTGATATGTATTTACACCACTAAAATATAGTTGAAGATCATTTAACTCTTTAATTCATATTACTATACAGAATACTGATTAAGTGTAACATTATAAAAGAATAGAGTGATCTTTAATCTAAGTAATATAACTAATATGTTAGAGCCACTATTTACAGCAAAAATTCGTATTTTCATTATATTTTTCAGTGATGAGTTTTCATTCCACAACCAGTAAAACATGGCTCTGATACCCAGACTTCAGCTGCTATTCACAAGGATCAACCTTCGTCGTGGTAAGCAGTGTGCACTACAAAACCTGGGGAAGACATTTGCCTTACAGAACCCCTCCCATCTGGTGAAGGTGTCGTATTCTGCAAGTCACTGCATGAGCCATACTGAACACCAAGGTATTCAGGGAAGGCAATGGCAACAAAGTTGCAGTAATGCCTCACAACTCAAACCTGATGCTGTGCAGGTTTGGAAAGATTTGAGGAGATTTTACAGTACAAAAGAACTGACTGTGGAGAAGAAACTGCGGCACTTCATGGACATGTGGGAGATGGAGAAAGGGGTCAAGTTATTACGAGAATCGGTAGATGAAGGAGTCATTCCCCATCAGAACATAGTCCTCGATCTCCTCCAGCAGCTGGCCAACCTTGGTGAGACTGAGTGTCTTCTTGACCTCCATGAATTCCTCACAGAGAAAAAACTGGTAACAGATGCCAAATTTTTCAACGCTTTAAAAGACGCTTATTATTACAGTGGGAGGCTTGACGAGGGTGTTGGTGTGCTGAGAATTCTTTTTCATCGAACGCGGAAGTTTCGTAATGTTGAGATTTTCTTTTGTTTACTGGCTGTGATGGTTATTCGACATTTTCCACACAGGATAGATCTGATTGAGGGATTTGTGACAGACTTGAAAGAGTTTCAGACTCCTGTCATCGAACCCGTGGCATCACTGTGGAAGTGTTATATATTGACAGAAACGTTTGAAAAAGCTGAAGAAGTTTTAGTCGAGAATGAAGAGATAAAATCTCACATACCGCAGATGGTGTCAGACATATGTACAAGGTATAACAAGATTGAGGCTAACTATGATGTCGTGCTTCACCATCTGAGGGACAATCCTCATATCTCAGGCAGACTGAGAACTGCCCTGTACACTGAATATGCAGAAGTATTATGTAAGTGCTTTGCATCTTTTCTTAAAGATATTCAGGGGAATTATCACCTGAAGTATTTGGCTTCACATTATGCAAAGGGCCAAACTTACTTTTTATATTGGTATCAACATAGGCGGATCCAGAGGGGGGTGCAGGGGTCTTGGCATGACAAGCTAATGCTTTAACCACTAGGCTACCCCACCGCCCCAAGTTTGAGATCAGAAACACATATAAAAAAGTCCAGATAGCCAAGCAGTGGGTCGAGAGCTGCACGTCAGTCACCACACACAGTTTTTCACAATTTTGCTGTAAGGATTTATAGAGCTACAATACAGGCTCCATTTCAATAGTCAATCTAAAGGGGTTAAGCCTGTGGACTGTGCTGTTTACCTCCTTATTCCTAGTTCGATTCCTCACATGGATGTAAAGTCTTCCACCATTAAGTAACATCATACATGGGTTGCATATTGTGATGCAAGATGGTGCACTTGTCTTGCAGGCAACATGGTGAGACACGAGGAAGCTGTGGATGTGTTGAGTGAAGCAATGTCACTTGGCATGACTCCTGCCATGGAGAGACTGAGAAACATCCTGGCCCATCTGACGGAACAGGTTCAAGACGATGACACCTCAAACAGACTTGCTTCCTTGCTGCAGTGGTGTGATGAGCTTGAGGGAGCAAAGTGACGGTTTCTTGCTAAAAATTATTTATTGGAAATAGGGTTAATTTGATTGTCCATGCAGCTTTGATTGAAGCTGCTGCAACAATGTCTTTGTCAATTAAAATTTGATGATGTATATATTAATCAGTAATATAAGGTTGTTATTGCTGAAATGTATAACATGATGCAACTTGCTACTTTAAAGTGATGACTAATATATCATGAACATAAACTTCCTGGAGTCTTAGAGAAATATTCAGTCATGACTTTTCAGTTAGTGAAGTGAGTTTTCTAAGAATTAAACGTGTTTTCAGGCCCTGACAACTTCTAAGATATATTCCACTGTCAAGTATTTCAAAGATTAAAACAGTAGTTCCAAAATCATTTATGTTCGATCATGAGAAAATGTGATCGATTGCTTGGTCGTTTGGTCACTTTGACCAATCTTCGATTATTTCAATTAATCGGAACACCACTAGTCAGCAGTATGATTGTACACATGGTTTCAGACTGTGGTTTAGCCTGGTCCAGACTTAAATAGCCCATAACCAGCTCATAACCATTTCCATCTATTTCATTGATAATGATAGTTTCTACACCAGTTTCAATATTAACTTTTAAAATTTCCAATGAAAAGATATTGAATTAAAGTGTATATTCCAGCCATGTCACAAAGGAGGGAGCAAAGAAAGGGCTACATGCATTGTGCCCAGGACTTCAACCATGGCATGATTAACATATTAACCCCACTGCCAAAATACAAGTAATATTTGCAATGCGAGAATGAGTGACTAGAATACTTAAAATAGTATCATTTATATCACATCATATTAGCTTAATGAGGCAGGAAATCCCAGGATGATGAAGGTCTTGGAACCAAGAATGTGTATTTTTCCAAAGATCATTATCAATGCACATCAAGGATTTTACCCATCACAGGATTCTGCCATGCCTAAGGGAAGCAACTCTACACACAGAAATGTTGTGCCATACATGACGACACCTGTGCCTCCCACAATGAAGCAGACATTCAAATCTATTTGTTTTAAACATACACCTGCAGGGTGCGATTTCACTATTTACAACCTGCACTAGTGCATGCTCAAAATGGCTGATGCAGGCTGCTCCCAGTAACGGGTTGCACTCGGTGCAGGCAACAATAAATCCTCCAACATCTTATAGCTGTCATCGTGTCTTTTGATAGGGAAGTAAGTGGCTTGAAGTAACAAGACTTCTTACAAGCATAAACATTTGTGTACTCATTAATCACTTATGTAGCAGTAATTATATAATTGAGATGTGTAAATAAAGGTAATGCAAAATTGAAACAGAATCATTCATCATTTATCATCATAGGGTCTAGTTCTGTTTATATATCTGATACTGAGAACTTGTTCTGAAATATGCTAAACAAGTATTTTTGTTATGTTTAAGATCCAGTGACATTATTTTGTGGCGCAACCAAAATTTTGATGGTGCAGCCAAACCTATAAGCCAGGTTGCACTTGGTGCAGGTATTCTCTCTCTCTCTCTCTCACTCTCACACACACACACACACACACACACACACACACACACTCTATAGAAACTACATAAACTTTAAGTGACTGATCGGTTTACTGGAATTGAGAAACTAAAGACTCACCAGAAAATAAAAAAAATAACCTGTTTATTAAATAGTTTGCATGTTAAGGCACAATCGTTTTGATGTTATTTCATCAGTAAACCAGGTATCATTCATTGCACATAAAGTTCAACATAAAGACATGTACCAGACATGACATACATCATTGACCGCAGTGTGTGAAATAGCCACTGGCCTGCTAGCCCGTGGCTAGTAAAATTCCAGGCAGGCCAGTAAATCTCCATAGTCACTGGTCTGACTGGCTAGTTAATTTTCATGGGGTCATGAGATTATGGCCTGATAAAAATGTTCTTCATATTAGCAGCTTAATGATGAAACCCCTGTCTACATTCAAATTTCAGACTAGTGAATTATTTTTTGGCTAGTAACTTTCAGGCATAGCTAGCCTGACTGGCTAGCAAAATTTGGAAACTATTTGGTACCCTGATTGACCGTCTCACTGGACATGAATAACAAAGACTGATGAACTGAACTGTATACAGTGTAAGCTGTAATGGTGTGGACAAAGTGAACTTTCATTTGTGCATGCCGATTGTGTTGTGACCAGTTCTGAATACATACACTGACTGAATATAATCCAGAAATATCCATCAGGACAACTGTTTACTGACATAAATCATTTGGCATGTTTAAGTTCTTTTGAAACATTTCTTTTGTTTTTCGCAATCATTTGATGATTGAGTTGATAGGAAATGAAGAAAATATCCAAGTACAGTAGTACTACTTTAAATATTCTCTTGGTCAATAAGCAAAGATGGACGCAATTATTCTGAATGTTAGATTTGTAATGAAAGCTTTATCAAGTCTGTACATCCTCATTCCAAGAGAAAGTCTTCCACCATCTTGTTGAATTCGTCAGCATATCTCAGATGAATGTTGTGCTTTCCCTCCGGCATGTTGTGCAACCTGAATATAAGAAATTTCTGTCACATCTGAGGTTACGATTGAGTCTTAGTTACTGAATTTCACTTAGCAATATCATGGTCACCTTGAATAATTGAATCTGCATCAGACAATCCTGTGATTGTAGACATGAGCAACGGTCCACATTGTGTTGATCATCCAGTGAGTGATGGGGCCCCAGCTTTGGTCTCTACTTCTATATGAATTAGGGGAGACAATCAACTCTAGACAGGATTTTCTGTTACTGCATGTCATCTATCGTATCCTGAAGACGTTTCTCGTTACTCATAATATCAATTACTTAAAAAACCAATGGTATGGATAGAATACCGCTGAGGGCAATGTTAACAACAAGCAAACAATGTGAATGATATCTTCAACAATTTGAAACCTGGTTACATATATATCCTGTGATCAAATATATAGAGTTGACAAACCTTGAGTTCTGTATATGTTTGTTGAGATACACAGGATGTTCTGCCACCACCATGGGGTCCTTCATGCCGTGGATGATGAATGTTGGACACGTGATTTTCTTCAGTTCCGCCTTGCAGATGTCACCTGGCAGAATGAGTGAGGTAAATTGAGCTTTTACTCCTTTTCAAGCAATATTCAGTATGATGAACTAAGATTCACTTACTTGGCTACCCCAGCCCTATATCTGGCAGACAGATGGTGGCCAGTCATCTAAAATGATGTAATTCTCTGAGCAGAATTGTGAGCCAGAAACATATGATCTTAGGTTCGAATCCAAGATTAATCCTGATTACATCTAACTGTTTCATAGTACCATACCAAATGTGTAAATAGTTTTAAATGTCTACGATGTGCAAACTTTTGGCCATTCTTCCCTCATGTGACTGCAGTTCATGACATACGAACTGTTAAAACCGGGATTCAACCCAACCCAACTCACTCACTCCGACTATCCATGAACATACCTTTATTGTGTGTGTAGTATCTACTGTATGCCTTGACCCAGTTGCTCCACTGAACCCGGAAGTACTTCTCCCCGTACACCTGGATAAATGGTTCCTTCATCCTGGCACTCCACTGGTCAATGTCTTCTACAGCTGCAGGCAGCATGGAAATATTAGAGCATACAACTCCGGTGACATCATACAGTGTCCACAACATAGGGAGTCAGGCTAAGGGTGGAACTTGAAAGGGGCATGGGCTGGGGTGGGATGGGGTGGGGGACTTGAGGGAGGTGGGTGGAGTGGAGAAAAGGGATGAATTTTCTTAGATGGGTGGTGTGGTAGAAGCTGGGGTGGTGAATAAGGGTATGGAAGGTAAAGGATTTTAGGGAGTGGGGACAGTGCTTGGGTGTTGTAGGATTGGGGTTGTTGCTGTACAGAGATGTTAGGCCTGTTTGGTGTACGAGTGGTATGGTGGTAGCAGCTGGAATTGGCATAATTGGGTGGAAGAAAGGGCTTGGGTACCACATAGAGCAATGGGGTGCATATGGGCGTGGCATGGAGGGATGGCGTGGCAGTGGGTGGAGTGGCTGAGAGCTGGACTGAACAGGGTGGTTGAATCATGAGCAGAGTTCCAGGTCTGTAATCCTCCACTAGGGATAACACTTGATAATAATTCTGATTGGAAAAATGATTGATTGGTGTAAATTTTTATCAGCAGAATCCACCTCTGTAAGTAAATGAAAATTGTGACAAATCCACATTTGCCATGTGTGTAAGTTCATATTTTCCTTCATGACAAAATTTCCTCAATTGCATGTTCTTTATTTAACAGTTTTCAGAGATATTAAAAGACAACTTTCTTCCCTGACGTTTTACAATTTAGAGGTTTTAAAACATACGACAACCTGGCCAAGAACTGTACACGTGTTGCTAGGATACAGCTCCTTACCTTGGTACATCTTCATGTCCTTGTCGGTAATGTAGGCATTGGTTCCCCATACAACCAGCTTCTGCACCAGTTCTGGGTATTGTGAGGCAAGGAGCAAACCAGTTATTCCACCATCGCTCCAGCCAAGCACAGAAAACTTCTTTTGCCCGAGAGTCTGGATGATGTGCAGTATATTATCATTGACATCTTCATCCATAATACTCAACTATGTTATCACTGCATTGGACTTGAAATCAGTTATCCAGTATGATGATGGTTCCCTGGTTACTGAGAAACTGTACATCGTGACAAGAGTGATTTTGCTTGAGGTAGTGAGTGAGTATGGTTTAATGCCATACTTATGCCAAACTGTACATGGATGCAAGAGATGGTTCTGTAACCAGTGATTTTGCTTGAAGTAGTAGTATGTAATTGATAAATATTCCAAAGAATCATAGCCAGGAATACCAGAAAGGGGCTTCATGTTTTGAGGTGAGGTGAAGTGAAATTGGGTTTATCGTCGTGCATGCGTGTGTATGTGGGCTGCTTGTACTAGCCCAGACTTAAGCTGGTTTTATAGTGCTAGCCCACTGAGATACCACGCCACAGTGAAGCATGAATACCCCACTCAGACACATTATACTGACTCCGGGCCGACCAGTCCTTGTTGTACCCATTAATGCCCAGCGCCAGGCAGGGACCAACAAGTACCATATTTTAACGTCTTTTGGTATGACGCGGTCGGGGATAGAACCTTCATGTTTTGAACGCACGGGGAATCGAAAGAGGGTCTTTAGTGTTATGAGGAAACACTTTCACCACTTGGCTACCCCACTGCTTCTAGCTTGAGGTATATCACACTGGTACATTTTCATGATTTTATCATCTCTCAATAATGATTCAGTTCTTCGATATCAATATTAAATTTGCAAAAAGAAACACAGGACATTTTGAATGATAATCAGTTAATGTCCACAAAAATATACTGATCTGAAATTCCGACTGTACATTCATGACAGCAACTGCATCTTCTGCATCTCGCTGGAGGAAATTGACAGGCCAGTCACGCTCAGGGGGAATACTTCGCCCATAACCACGAGGATCAAAGCCAAATATCGTGAACTTTTCTGGATTCATCTTCTCCAACTGGGGGTCAAAGTCTGTCTTTGTGCAGCCTGTAATCAGATTGGTGAGTGAGTGAGTCCTTGTATTAGTGAGCAGTCAGCAATATTCAAGCTATGGTATACAGAATCCACACCATAATCTGGTTGTGGACAGGCTAACCAGTTGTTGACAAGCAGTTCCTTATTGACACAACATTTTTTGGGTCACAAATTGTGACACTTGATTCTTATTGGGTTGCACTTACATGAGTGAGTGAGTGAGTGAGAGTGATTAGCAGTTGTTGACAAGCAGTTGCTTATTGACACAACATTTTTGGGTCACAAATTGTGACACTTGATTCTTATTGGGTTGCACTTACATAAGTGAGTGAGTGAGTGAGCAGTCAGCAATATTCAAGCTATGGTATACAGAATCCACACTATAATCTGGTTGTGGACAGGCTAACCAGTGGTTGACAAGCAGTTGCTTATTGACACAACATTTGTTGGGTCACAACTTGTGACACTTGATTCTTATTGGGTTGCACTTACATGAGTGAGTGAGTGAGCGAGGCAAACAACTCTTTATTCCTCTTTGAACAGTATTTCAGTTACATCACAGAGATGCTTGTTTTAGATTCTTCCCACCACGCCTTACTAACACTGGGGAATGTTGACACAAAATCCATTGGGGTACAAATAATGACAACTCGCACTTTGATTAATTCTCTGAACTGACAGTGTTTGTGTTAATATGTGCACGTGTGAAAGTGAATGAGTGAGTGAGCGACTTAACTGACAAACACTTTGAACAGTATTTCAGTTCGAATCAGTGTAAGAGGAGAGACAAAAGAGTGAGTGATTGAGTTTAGTTTTACGCCTCACTCAGCAATATTCCAGCTATATAGCGGTGGTCTGTAAATAATCAAATCTGGACCAGACAATCCAGTGATCAACAGCATGAGCATCGATCTGCACAATTTGGATCCGATGACATGTGCCAACCAAGCCAGCGAGCCTGCCCACCCGATCCTGTTAGTTGCCTCTTACGACATGCATGGGTTACTGAAGGTTCATTCTAACCCGAACCTTCACGGGTTGAGACAAAAGAGATGCTGGTCTTAGATGCTTACCAGTGAAACAATATAACAAGGGGCATTTCTGGAAATCAAACCAAGGATCATTGCACTCCCGGGTGTACAACAACACCGACAACTCCAGCACCATTTACAGCTGGAACACCCGGCTGTAACATCACGGTAACTGGCCTCCAACCTACCCAAGGCTCCCGGCAGTAAGAGGACAGTATGATCCCCATATCCAAATTGTTCACAGTGAAAGTCCACTCCATTTGCCTTGACTTGTAGCGAGACTCTACGGACTGAATAAAACCTACAAACAAAGTGCCATTAATAGTAGGATAAACTGATCAAGATTTACAATACTGTGTGAAGTAAAATTCACAAATATCTTGTTATGTGTCAAACCAGTACAAGCTGTCAAAAACAATTTTCGCCAAGTTTTTTCGTCAATCCAGGTGAATTAATGATATATATCTGACAAGAACCTTTACTCAGATGATTACCTGATTAATGCAGCATGAATAATCATGACAATACACCTGAATCACTTCATGCAGCAGCTGCCACTGTTGCATGAGATGCATGTAATTGCGAATATGTGAAGAGAACATGTCATTTATACCACAAGCCATGCAGGTGCTGCAGTCTGCTGCATTAGCCACCTCACAGGACGGAGTAACATTTGTTTGGTTCTAGAAAGCTCAGTATAGTTTACAGAAGTTTATGGTAATCTATGCGCTTTGAGCATGTCCCTCAGTGATCTGGAACTAGCACTATATAAATTTCCATATTATTATTATCAAATGATGCAAAGTAACACATTATTGCTGGTAAACTAAAACATGACATGCAATTGACTGTGTGAGTGAGTGAGTGAGTATGGTTTTACGCCGCTTTTAGCAATATTCCAGCAATATCACAGCGGGGTACACCAGAAATGGGCTTCACACATTGTAACCATGTGGGAAATTGAACCTGGGTCTTTAGCGTGATGAGCGGATGCCTTAACCATTAGGCTACCCCACCCCCCCAATGACTGGGTGACCTGGTTCTTGGCATATTTAAGTTATTAAACCAGGAATGAACCAACGTTCCTGCTTGACAACGGTACAAGAATCTGCATCGAAACCTCGCGATCACAAAATAAAAGAAGTTGTTATCCAAAAAATTTCTTCAATATTGTGCGTCACAACTCCTAAAATTCTGACAGTCAAAGAAGATATAAGGAATGATTACAATCCTGCCCACTGGTCTGTTTCTTATTCTATGCATTGTATGATCCAGATAGGGTTCACTGCAGACTGCATACAAATGGAAAATATCAATTGTTCACTCTCATGTTAGAGCTTTCAACACGATTACAAAATGCACTGACCTCAAGTTCAAGCAGACTGAAATATAAACATGATAAACACAACACGTGATACGGTATTAAACTCTGACAACTTCACCGACTGCATATTTCGATTTGTAACATTGCATGATGATGTAGACATGGTTCTTGTCATCGAATTCTACAAACAAACAATCAAACCAAAAGTGTTCCCCAGGAGATTGTGCACTATGTCCACTTGTACGAGTGATGATATGCCAATGATGGTGAACGCCACTTTGTAACATAGAATATTATCCAACATGCATGTCATACCGAACATTGTGGTGGAACTGTTCCCTGAATGCAGTCTTTGAGCTTTGTGGTAACAGGCGTCGTCGTAACCATTGCTGAGCTGAAATTAATGGTGACGATGAACTTGTGAAATAACTCAACTTCCCAACGCAAGCCACACGGGCCATATTTACAAGGGAGGTAATTCTAACGTCTCTACCTTCTGCCTGACCACAAGTGATTTTACATACACACACCACCAAGGGTGAACGTGCTACGTGACGTGAGCACCAATCACTGAGTACCTTACATACTTTTATATTCCAGTTTTCGTCTGTGCTTGCCTTTTCATTTGAGAAAATATTATTTGAAACAAATTCGAATCGCATGTGCATCTTCACTTCACCATCTCGACCAGAAATCAATGGCTGAACTCCGTTAGTCAAGGTGTTAATCTCTTTTTTTGTCTTTTCAGGATATTTTGCTTATTATTGTAACTGTGAATGCCATCTTACCACGTGACCAGATATATTTTGTTGTTTACGTGTCACCGTGTCACCCTCAGTATACGATAATATTTTACCTAACTTTTACTCACAGGGTCTCTTAAATCGCGCAGCCGTTTGCACGCATTTTTGCATAATATTAGATGCCAGCATCCGATGACGAAATTTTATTGGTGACGTATTGTCACGTTTATATACTGGACAAAATAAGTTATTGGATAGGGATATTTGTAATTTTATGACTGATATTTTATCAGTGTGTCAATGAATAAATAGATCAATATTCATAATTTCTAAATTTATATATATCCCTAACTATTTTTGTCCAGTATATTATCTGGATCTACTCCTATCGATGTGGGCGGTGGGGTAAGCTAGCTAGTGGTGAAGGCGTTCGCTCGTCACGCCGGTGTTCCGGGTTCGATTCCCCACATGGACACAACGTGTGAAGCCCATTGCTGGTCATATTGCTGGAATATTGCTCAAAGCGGTGTAAAACTTAACTCTATCACCCACTCATATCGATGTTCGGCCACACGTTCTGAAGCACGTTCTGTCCATACAGATGGTGAATGAAAATTCTCTTCGCCAACCAGTAAATAGTGTTATAAGAAACAGAAAAAACCCAACAAACTGGCCTCCTCGATCCTTCCGTCTAGTTGTGCTTGGCATAGTCCTTTGCCCTTTGAAAAATTGTTAAAGTTGCTAAAAGACCATCAGCCAGCGTATTATTATTTTATATAATAAAAGCGGCGTAAACCTTAACTCACTCTATTTTTTACTTGTTTATAGCCAGCCATTGCGCAGAAAACCTAAATGGGTATAAATCAAACCATTATTAGGTGTATTAGGTGGCATGTGGAATAGTTTCAGTCAGT